AGCAGGAAACTATCATACTAGCAGAGCTAAGCGTTTAGGTAGAGCCTTCCTGTACATGTAATTATGCCTTTCCTCCCCCTCTAAAAAAAGGCCATTGTTACTTTGGAATCCACATTTATAAAATTTTTCTCTACACCGATCCTTCAGGCTTTTTCTGCTGCATCTGTTCTATTGCCCTGCAGAACCTTCCGAGGAGTTCACACTTCTTCTGACAAAGTCAGGATAAAATATACTTTATTTGTACCTCTGGCCATTGTACCATCTGTGCATGAGACACTGACCAAACCGATGAAGAAATTTTAGAAATTAATACTGACTCATAATGCACAACAGGATTCTTTTTGGATCAGCAGCGGAAGAGTGCTGTTGCCTCTCTCCGTTTGCAGAATGTACTTAAGAACCAATTTTTAACCTTAATGTGATTATTTATCATAATTCTGACATAAATGTTATAGTCATGCATTTGTTCACAGAGGTGGCAATGCTAATTCCTTCAATAACAAATGTTCTATTTTCTCTTTTATATTGCATCCCAGACACGGAATCCCCTCCTTGCAGTTGACTGTCCTTACACTCTAAGAAATAACGCTCCATCTTGTTGCTGCTTAGATCACAGACAAAAAAAAACAACCTGAAACTGGCATGCTTTGCATTTTTCAGTGACCTCGAGACTGAAAATTAAACCTTGCATAGTATCAAGCAGAGCACCATTACTTACACTGAGGGATACAGCTTTCAAAACAAATTCTGAATATATTTCAGTAATATCCGAACTTTGAAACACCTTCATAAAATACAGAGGTAAACACAAAGAGAACACTGAACATCTAAAGGACCCAATCAGTCTATATGCGACTGGCAAAATTCCTATCAATATCATAGATGCAAGAGCAGGCTGATATACTGATATGGATCAGTTACAGCAGCTTTACCAAAGCACAGTGAGCGATCTGTTGATCTCTCTTCTGCATCTGCTGTATTGCGTTCTCCCACTGCCTGATGACTTCTTGCCTTTCCTGATGAACTCTGCGAAAATCTTCAGCTGTCTTGTCAAGCTCTATCTGTTTAAAGGAAATCACCCCCATGATTTCTGATTTTAAAAACTTCATATATAACAACATATCTTCAAGAACCTTAAGCACAAACCTGAGCTGTTACGGTTTCTGTAAGCTCATTATCAAGAGCTCTGCGCTTCTGATTTGCTTGCATGGTCAACTTTTCTACTTGAAGGGTTAATGCCTAAAAATGAAAGGATACAAAAATATAATGTATTTGAAAACAAATATATAACGTCTTATAAATTCTTAAAGCTCTGCTATAATTAGGGGTGAAATTACCGAGGCATCCATTTTATTTTATTTTAGAGAACAAAAAACCTGAGAATCTAGCCTCCCAAGTTTTTGATCATTCAAGAGGCCATAATCTCTTGTCAGCCCTTGGGACCAGACTGGAGCTGGACCAAAAGTAACCCTCCACCATGTATAAATGTGTGCGTGGTGTCCTCAGCATCAGCTGTTTCACTTTACTCTTCCTACTATACTGTGTGACTTGCTAACATAAATGATACCAATGAGACTGTGTAAGCTAAAGTTTTTGGGCTAAGTATTTAATGAGTAAAAATCAGTTTTCTCCTCCCTGTATTTCAAGGCTCAAAACAATATTAACCAGGCATACTTATCTCTAAATCAATATTATACTTGAGAACTAACCCCTATAGAGTCTGAACTTGTGACTGTAGTGCTTATTTATACCATCTTTCATTATTCTAGGCAGCTTTACTGAATTACTTGTACTTTGTTCTCAGTAATATTAACAAATTCAGTTCTAATGGGAAAATCTACACTATTTGTCCATATTTGGCATTCATTTTGGAACAAACTCTTCTCTTAATTCAGTGGCAGTGTTTTCTAGGCTTCATTATCCATTTGTGCCCTTTCTCAGAAAAACTCAAACTTAAATTTTACCCAGATAAACAAACAAATTAATGTCTTCAACTATGCCTTTCGCCTTTTGTAAAACCTGTTCCCTCTGACCTTTAAAATGAATCTCATATGGAATTGCAGTGTTGTGCTAAGTAGAAACCAGTTTAAAAGCACTGTTGTACAAAATCTTGTCTCTGTCTTACCTGACTTGATAACATAACAAAGTCTTCAAATGCTAGAATGGTTCTCTGTTTTGTTTCTAAAAATTGCTGTCGTTTGTACTTACTCCTAGTTTCCCTTCATCTTGTTGTGCATACTTCTGGATTGCGATAGCATCATTATCTTTACGATTTGATTCCTTTATCCAGCTCTCCAGAACTTCCTCATCACAGTTCATCTGTTGTTTTAAGTTTTCCAACTTCTTAGTGGTTTTATTTATAGTACGCTAAGAAAATTAGAAATAAATTAAAGGGTTAATATTAATATTTTCTTTGAACAGTAATTGAAACCACCAGTTCAAGCTACTGTAACAAGTTTACATACATCCTGTTGTCAACAGAATTGCTAGTTCTCTTTTTTGTTCATTGTGTATTATACTTGAGGAATGCTAATATGCATCCTGGTCTTAAAGAAGAAACAAGACAGTAAGTTCCCACAAACTTAAAATGCAAATAATTTTAAACAGAAAAGACAACCTCTGGCGAGATATATGTATATGTGGGATATTATTCCACATAATAAACTGATCTGAGGCATCATAGGGTAAAGTGTCTCCCTTGCACAGTGAGGCCCGGTTCTTGGATCCTTATTCTGCATATCATTTTACAAATGGCCCCATGTGACTGTGAAGAGACTTCCTGACACAAATATGAGAGAATCTGGATCCAGCTGAATAGTAAGGATATCTTCATCATGCTACCCATTCTGAGAGACTGGAGATTACAAACAGACTTAATGAGAAGAAAGAGAGCAAATAAGAAAATAAACAAACATAATTTAAATTATTTGTAGAAAGAAAGAGACAGTTCCATTAAACAGAAAACCACCTGTAATTAGATAGCATTAGATTACTTTTTTTTTTCCCAATGTAAAGCAAATTTTTGATCTTGAAATCATGCCCCGAGTTTACTTTATGTGGGGAAGATTTGCCACCAACAATTTAATTTTTAAACCATAAAGACAATACTTGTGAGAATTAACAAGATGGTGATATGGATGTGTGGCTGTGTGTCAGGCATTAAGAACATTAACTAGATATCGAAAGACTGCAATTTTTAATATTTGCTGAGTCTTGATCAGTCTATGCAAGGAGATCCCCAGTGTCACTCTACTTGCCTACACAGGGAAAAGCACATCCAGATCAGTTATTATAGTTTATAAGATTTAACTATAACTAGCTATTTTTGACTTATACTCTTATTTCTGTAAGTGCAAGAGAGGAAAAGTCATAAAATCTACTTGCAATATGGGTGTTCTCTTACAAAAAATTCTAAACCTTACTTCTTGGCTGTTTTTCTTTTCTCTTAAGGAAACTATCTCATCTTCCAGTCGTTTAATCTCACTTCTGAGACGTCCACGTTCTCTCTCAGCAAGGGCTTTCAAGTGTTGTTCAGTTTCAATTTCATTCTCTCTGGCTTTGTAAAGAGACTAGAGAATAATATGGTTCAGCATTTTACAATAAAGAAGAGGCATATATCAACAAAAAAACCTTTTTTTACATACAACCAAATCCCAAGTCAGAGATGGTATGATTTTGTCATGTAAACATAGGAATTTTCAGAGCAACTTTATTGTTTGGGTTTTAGTATCTCAAATATATGTATTCATATATAGATACACCCATTGTACTGTATCAGATATCCACAGATCAACCATTTTTAGCCCTAAAAACTCAATTAAAAGATATTTCACCCAAGATTCATAATCTTAATCTTTCAAAATCCAAGTCTTTTGATCACCATCGGCTTTACGTCAGATTCAGGAGGCACAGCAAAAGAAACCATTTTACTGTTTTGTGCAGAGACAGACCACCACCAGGCTGGCCTACAGGACTATCTCTACATTTTCTAATCTGTCTGACAGAAGTGATTTAACAGGGGTTTTCTTCCTTGTATAATAACAAATCTATTACTTACTAGAAGCTTCTCTTAAATAAACTAGTATGTGTTGTCTCTTTATGTGCAGATTAGAACTTGACTCTGGCACAAAAAAAAAATTAAGAGTTGTTCAGCTGCAGGGAACTTTAAGACTTTTTCACCTAGGATATTTTACCTGAAAGGCGTGCAGCTTTGACTCGGGACTCTTTAGAAATCTAAACACCCATTTCGGCCACTTAACTCCGAGTGTAAGTGAAGACTTGCACCTTAACCATCTCACTTCATTTTTTCACGTCTACGAATTAACTCTTCACTAGCATTTCACAATTAACTCTTGACCATTATAAAGATTATAAATTTGTTTTTCCCTTACACTGATGTTTTATTTTCATTGACCAGATTTTTCTTATCATCTACGAAAGTCTCCGTTAATAAAGAATTCTAAAATGCATCCTTCTTGGCTTTCTTCTAGGTACAGTCATTTGATCTTAGATGATCGTTTTAATGACCATCGCATAGTGTCACCGAGATATATAGTTTTTGTTTCCTGTGAACGTCCTGACAAATCTCTAACAAAGCTGGCAAAATATATAAGGATACCAGCCACAGAAAGATACTCAGACGACAAGTCTGTCCGATAAAATGGATCCGCTAGAGGTAGCGATTTACCTGAGTGAAGCTGAACTCTTGTCTTACGTTTTTCAAATGAGATGTCATTGCTTCTATACGCTCTTCAAAGTCGTTCAACTCATTTTGCAGGTTTACTTTTTCTTTTTGCATCTTCTGCAGCTATTTAAGAGTTAGAATGGTCAAGTAACTACTTTCAGTTGAGCGCTTATTACCTGCAACTACTTAAAAAACAGAGTCGTTGCACCCCACCGCGACCCCGAGCTTTGCTGAGGGAAGGCGAAGGCGCAGCCCCTGCTCGGGGCTGCTGAGGGGCGAGGCG